ACTGACAAGACAGTTGCTCACAAACGCAGCCTGATTCTGCATATAGTTGTAGTTATTGGAAACAAGCTGTATTGGTTTAAGGATTTTTTTTTTTTTAAGCTACTACTAATGGTTGGTTAATGAGTGGTCACCTTGAGCCATAGCAAAGATGCAGCAACAGAACCTGGCTTTGGGGCTGGACGGGGATATAGCACGACCGTTCTCGCTGGATCTGCTGTTAGTTCTTATAATTATAGTGTATTTCTCTCTTGTTACACAGCATTTAACTGTGTTTTTTTTCCCTTCTTAACTACTGTGTCTGAGCATGTCGGCAGCAGGAGTTAACTGATCTGTGGGGTTTTCAGTGCCAACCATTTTAAGTTTTGTGTATTTGGGGGCTTTCTTCTCTGGAACAGAAGATATAGAAAATGTGAATTTGCAGCAGCACTGCTGAGGAGATATATGCTGAACCCCTTTTATTGACTTCTGATAGGCAAGATTTAGGTTTCATCTCTGCTCTCAAGGTAGCTTTAGAAAGAGCACAGTAGGTCTTTTGACAGTCCAGCGATTGCCCCACAGATGATCAGTCACGTCTTTCATATGTTGCAAACTTTGAAGGGTCAGGGTACTCCTTTAGGTACTTCTGAAGCTCGTATCGCCATTAATATCCAAGGGCAAGTAGCCCTGAGCACTTGAATATTGAACGCCATCTAATTATGGAGTGACGGCTACGCGACCGCAATGAAAGAAGCGGAAAGTGCTGGGTGCCTCAAAGGAGAGCAGGTTGCCTAATGAAGAGGGGGGAGAGGCAGGAAGGATCGTGCCCTGGTAGGGGATGTCAGACTGGTTGCCGAAATGGAGGAGGAATTGGGAAGGTTTGGCAGCTCAGAAGGGGATTTCCGTTAGGGGGCATGTCGTTTTTCTAGCGGAGGGAAAGGCTTGAGAAATTTGAGAACGAGAACGGTGTGCGTTAGCGTTTGCGACACAGTTTTAAGGCGACGCTATGGAAGCCCCGTTGTAATGGTGGTGTTTTTACAGCGCGCAGGATAAAGTGCACTTTGTGCCGCTCTGCGGGAGCTTTACAGTACCGTTTCGAGCACTAATCTGTGTATTTCTAGACTGACCTTTTACTTTTCTGCAGTCTTTGCTCGACTGATGAGCTGTTGGCTCGCCTCCTTCTTGCTTGTGGTGGTGTCCACGCGAGCTATGCGGTTTGTGCTGGGCGGACTCGAGCGGGTGCGCGCCCCGTTGCCTCCCGTTCTGTCCGAGGTCAGAGCTGTGGTTTCCCCTCCAAGAAACGGGAACGCTCCTCTGAATCCAAAACGAGCCTTTCGGCTCAAATGGCGCCGAAATGAGCTAACCAAAAAGGCGGCTGCTTTTGTAGTCCTCCAGCTAGCACTCAAGGAGTGCTTTTGAATAGGTGAGGTCAGACGGTCTTGTTTTTTTTTTTGCTTCTGGCTTCCTAGAGAGATCATTTGACAAGAGTGCGTTACCGCTTTTAATGCAATGCTGGTCATTATACGCCTATATACTGGCTGACAAAAAGGGGTAAATATTTTCCTTAGCTAATTTTATCTCCCATGCGAGAGTGGAAGCTTTTGCTGAGCAGGCAGTTTTCATTCATGTGGGATTTTAATTCGGTTTTGGCCTTAATTTAGGGCTTTACCACATACGACGAAGACGAATCCACATGCATGTGTTAAAATCTGACCTTAGCTTTGCTCTCTGCGTTCACTAATGTGTTTTAAAATATTCTAATATATGGCTTTCCAGACTTGAGATCAATAAACCAATGGGTCTGAAATGACAGAGTGCTACGATATTCCTCTGTAATTTAAACATGATTAGCTGATGAAGGTTATGATCAATATGCCAGGCGAAGACAAATTAATTGATATCATCCTTTCAGGATGATAAGGGGCCTATTGGAGGTGGGGTGTAACTAATGAAGCTGCTTCTTCATATATGCGAGCCATTTTTTATACCATGCGTTCTCACTAAGTCATGGTTATGCCATCATTCATTTACATGAAAAACATAAGCCTCAGACCAGTTCGTTATTAAAATTGCATTCATTGGAGAAGAAATTGCATGCTTATACTGCTAACAATATCTCTGCCTATGTTATAATGTACCGAGGAAAAATAATCTTGGAATTTACATAAATATCTTTCTGTATTCTCTGAACAAGACAGACTGAACACTGTTGAGTTCAATTATGGCGAGATTGTGCGGCTTTTTAAGTTGATGCCGACAACTGTTGCAATTCGGCCTCGCTGACCCCTTTTGGTGAAGACAGGTACAAGGGATGACAGTCTCCTTTGCAGAATTTAGTAACATTTAAGTAAAACAGTAATCTTGACCTTAAAATAATGAATTAGAAGTGTTAATGTGATCACGTGGCAGCTTGCAAGCTCTGTGCTGTTTGAAAGTCAGGGTTTGTTTTAGTTCATGCAGCTGGTTTCAGTGAAAGTTAAGGTACTGTCTCAGTATACCCTGGCAGTACCAAACTAAAATAAGGCTGAACGTTAAATATTGTGAGGGTGACTGAGCACTGAAACAGGTTCCCCAGCGAGGTTGTGGTGTCTCCATCTTTGGAGCTAGTCTAAACCCAGCCAGATGTGGTCCTGGGCAACCTGCCCTAGGTGACCCTGCTTGAGGAGGAGGCTTAGACTGCAGGAGCTCCAGGGACTCCTTCCAACCGCAACTTTTTTGTGATTAAATAGGAAAAATAAGGTTTCTCAATCTTGCAAAATACATATTTTCTTTTAAAAATATTTTTTATTTTAAAGGGCATAAAATAAATTTCACACCTTTTTTTAAGACGTCCTTTTCATAGAAAACATCCCATCACTTAAAAATAATGTTGCCATCTGTTGTGCCCTTGAGTCACACAAATACAAACTAGCCAGCCTGTTTATACTTGCCCTTCCTATTCAATGTGCGTTAGTATTTGATGTTTTGCTACCTCACGTGGGCTATAACTCTAAACTCTGCTCAACAAATATGGTCCGTGGAAAATGCTGAGTTTTCTCCATTTGTTATTAGGGAGCTGCTCCAAAAGTAACAGCATCTAAGTCTGATATCAGATCAGCATCCAATGTCTGAGCAGTCAAGACGACACGGCACATCATATCTTAGAATAGTCTATTCGTCGAGCCAGGCAGGAGTAGAAGGAATTGTATCTTTAGAAACTGTTGCATTTTGCTTGAGTTAATGACTTAAACGTCTCAGGCTGGTGCTGTGACATCTCTGGATGGCAGATACCTTCACATACAGCATGCTTGTACTGAAGTGCCATAGTGTGAGTATACTGGAGTACGCTTTTTGGAGCGTTGCTTTCTACACCTTCAACAAACTCTAATTATTACACTTTCTACTCTTTTTTTTTTCCTTCTTCTTCTTCCCTTTTGCAACAAAAAAAAGCATTTTGACCCTAGTGGGATATAACTGCTTCAAAGGATATTGCTGCTCCTGGGGTGGTTCTGTGCCTCTCAACATCTCCTGGCTCAGGGCTCTTGAGTATCCGTTGTCCCTTATGAAGAATAGGTGCTGTCCATATCTTGACTTTTCTGCTTCGGTTTGTCATTCACAGAATCTTCTGGTTTACATTAGTTTCATAAAGGGCTTCACTTCATGAAGATTACTGCATGCTAGGCAGTTAAATTTTGTTAGTAGTATTTTGAATTAGCCATTATACTAGTCTCTCTTTATGAAGACTGACATTTTTACTTCTTAATCCCAAAGGGTAGGCACAAATACAGTGTAAAGGATTTTAAGTATTCATGACCTCCCTTTGTCCAAAGGCCTGAACTGAACAGCAGAATGAACTGAAATTCCATTGCATCACAGAACGAAGTGCTGAAGTAATTTATTTTTTTAATTGAAAAATTATAGTAGATGTATGGAAATTGCTGCGTTTCAGATCAAGTGTTTCCATCTCGTTGAGCCTGTTAACCTGTATACGAAGACATTAATGACCTCTGATCCTCTCTGGTAAATGCTGCTTTTGGTTAGGGTTTGAAGAAAACTTCTGAAAAAACTGCAAAATAAGTCTGATGTTTTTCCATCTGTGCTAGTGCTGCTAAGTAGTAAAAACTAAAATTAGAAGTTATGAGATAGCTTCTTTCTGCGATTAGTTTAAATGGGATGGGCACGTGGCAGCACTAATCCGGGTGTTATTCTATGTCAGGTGTTCTTATTATTTCAATTTTTGTCTGTTTCAAATGCTTTGTGTGTGTGTATCGTGTTTCCAAAACCGATTGTTCCAATGTGGTAGCTGGTAATTAAGAGAAGGCCATTTTATCCCTCGGCAGTAGAGAATACAAGCTGCCTTGTGAATTAAACTGGGGTGTGTGAACTGGGAATGTAGCACTCCCGATGAACAGGCATTTGGTAATAGAGGACACCTTCCAAGATCTGATTAAAATTAAGTTAAAATTATTAGTAAAACGTTGTGCTTATTTACCGTCTATCTGCAAGGTAAGAAGACAGGAATATATGCACTGCAATAAGCTTTGTTAGTGTGGCGTTTATCTTATAAGCATATCTTAGACTTGTAGCATCATGTTTCTGGTGGGGGGTGATCGGGGGAACTGAGCACATCTTTTGTCTGGATACTTGACACTGTGTGGTGTGTGGTGTTTTGGTTTTTTTTTTTGTTTTTTTTTTAAACTTTTTGAACCTGCCTTTTTCCCCTCCTGCTTTGATGTCAGTGATTCAGTGATGCTTAACGGGTGGAAAGTTAAGCATCTGGGCAATTTCATCCGTGCGGAGAACAGAGCTAGAACTGCACGTGGAGATGACTAGTGAGCACGTTGCAGAAAACCAGCATCTGTCATCTTAATCGCATATATTACGCTCAGTTTTTGGTGCAGGCTTTGGCAATGGAAAACTGTTTAGTAGCTATGCCCTGTTGTGTGTGTGTGCGCCTTTCTGGGTCCTTCTGTGTATTTTTGAATTACAATGCTTTGTGCACTGTAGCTTACCTACTTGTGTGTTTATCTTTTTATTTTTTTCAGTTGCCCAGAAGATCGTTGCAACAAGGAAGAAACAGCAGCTCTCGATTGGACCTTGCAAGTCTTTACCAAACTCTCCAAGTCACTCGTCTGTGTGTTCTGCCCAGGTTTCTGCTGTACATATCAGCCAGGTACAGAATACAATGCTTGCTTGAAAAAGGAACTGATAGGTTACTTTTTCATTTAATGCATATAGTGCCATTGCTTGGTAGGGAGTTGGCCTTTCTCTAAAAGGTGTCAGTGATCCCTAGTTTAAAGCAGCATTTTTTTAATTGGCTTGACTTTGTTTTAAGAAACTGCTGCGGTAAAATGGTTTGGCTTTCAGGCCATCTTTGTTTGCACTGATTCTGCCCAGCAGCCTGCTGCTCTGAGAAGCCCAGTTGTTACAGGAGCAGGATTTGCAGTGCTGTTTTTTAAAATTGCCGTACAATGTTCTTGATTATTGGTTTCATTCAGTTGTGTGCTCAGCAGTACCTGGTATATCTCAACACTTAGCACGCTTGAATTTTTTACTTGCTACCACTGGTTGCAGCTTTACTTATGTATCTCTGTTATGCTCAATTGAAATGATTCCCCTTTAATGACATAACGATGGATGTTGCTAATGACTTGTAGATGCTATGTTAAAAACAAAACAAAATGCTACCTTTTATGTGTAGCAGGAAAATCTGGTGGCCTTGATGCTATGGGTATGATATTTTTTGGAAACATCTGGCTAACATCAGAGCTTTCTAATATATGTAGTTGTTACCCACAAACATATTGATACTCTGTTTTTCCATGTTGTTATCCTTCCCCAGTAGCTTTGCTTTCTAGTGTCAAGTGAGTGCACACAATCCGTGTGCACGTTCACAGTTTGGGTTTGTACAAGATCTGTCTTTCAGATCCGAGACCTTTGCAGCCAAGCAGGTCATTTTCCCGCTGTGCTCGTTCTCTCTTGGCCAGATGTATTTGTAGGGCTATCATGTTGGTCCTTCCAGTCTATGGCCGGAACTGTGACCCAGTTTCCTCGTTATCAGAAACTCGGACATCTCCTGATTTCTACTATAGCAATCTGAAATGTCAGATGCTCACTAGCTTTCTTGGTGTTTTTTTTTTTTTTTTTTTTTAAGTCTAAACTCATTTGCAGATGATTTCTCCTAAAGTTACATTGTAGTCTTGAGCCACCTGTGTGAGGTTTTGTTTGATCTGTGAACCCTTCTGCCACACTGCAAAAGTCTGTGCTTTTTGACAAAGCAGTATAATGAAGCGCTCTTATGAGGGTTTTGGATTTTTGTAATACATGTATTTTTTTTTTTAAATTTGCCATCTTAGACTGTCTTCTGAAGGTCCTCTGTTTAGCTTTATATAACAGGACCCCCTGGTTCTGTTGTGCTGATAGCAATTGGTCTCTACTTCTGTGCACTAGGGAAAACTTCCGCTCCTGTGTTAACTCTGACGAAGCAGATATCAGTTTAGTCTTAGAATTCTTGAGCTGAGCCCGGATACCAACCTGAAACTGTGACTCTGACTCCTGGTGATTATGCCAAAAGAAAATGCTGAAACGCTTTGGGTCCTCCTCTATATGGCAAGTGCTGAGGTGCATGACTCCTCTTCTGAAGAACCCTGGCACCTCCTGGTACCAGTGAGTAACAGTTCTTCTCGTAGAAGAATTTCTTCCCCTGAGTGTCATATGTGACGTTGGGAATGTTTCTTCAGCCCCGCTCTCTGACCACCTCACTAGCACTTGGAGCTAACCTGTCTTGTGAAATGCTTTTCCTCCAAAGAGTGCTTGAAGCTTTGTATGCTCATACGCTTAGACCAAAAGGAAACCTGCTGTCTTGTAGGGGCTGTCTTTGGTACCGAGACCAGTCTTACTCAGTGGTCAAGGAGGAAACTGGCTATCACAGAAATGTGGAGGCCAAATGGCACCGTTTCCAGTGCTGATCTGACTCTCAGATTCAAGAAGGACCTAATATACTCTGCTTGCTGGTCATATTATATGACTTTTCAAGACTTTTTATAAAGAGGATAGGTGATGCTTTCTGCAGTCCAATCCATCTGTATCTTCTGTGTCCTCTTAAAGTGGTTGAGATGGCCCTTCTCGTTGAGGAAGTTTTTCTGGAGATCACTAAATTTCTAGGTTCTTACTGTTTTCTTACCTGAGGACAGTTTGGAAACCGACAGGAAAATGCCAAATTCTAGATAAGTAGTTCTTCACTTACACAGCAAACTTCTTGCTGGTGATAAGGACTGTTTAGGAAAATGAAGATAAGGCAGTTTTTGTGATAAGGATCACCACAATTTGTTGCAATAGACATGAAGTCACGTTCTTTACCTTCTTTACCAGCTGGTATAATTAGCTAACAGTGGCAATGGCAACTTCAGCCAGATTTCCTTCATCTGAGGCTGCCATCGTGTCTGAGAGTATAGCCCATAAAGCTGCTTCATGTCCTACATGTGCTACACTTAAAGGAAGTACTACATTTTTTCTGAGGAAAGTAAACTGCAATTTATCCTAGACTTAAAATAACTTTGCAACTGCAATTCTGAGTTGAAGATGATCGCAGGAAAATTTACCATCTCGGATCCTCACCAGAAGACTGACTTATGTCTTACCCTTTAGCACATCTATTCTGACGTGATGTGATGATGTTTCACTGAAGATTTCCACTGTGAACTAAAGTTATCACAACAGTGCCTTGTCACTGGCTTTCTCCACAGGAGTGAAGGCCTTCAGAGGCAGTCCTTACAGATCACTTCAGACAAAATGAGATACCGTTCCTTCTCTAATTGGATCGCTGTGGTGCAAACTCTCCAGATGACTCGGCAATCATGAGATTAGGCTTTAGAGGGGAAAAAAAAAAAAAAAAAAAAACCCAGAAGTGTCACCTTCCCCATTCTTGCCCTTAACATACCTTAGGGAAGACTCTAAGACTTTAATAGGGCTCTTCTACCTGGTAGCTTCAGTTTTCAAACTATGAAAGACTACTTTGTGTGTTTGGATGCATGACTATACTAATGTTCAGGAGTCTGAGGTGATGAACACCTAGGTAATGCATCCTGCCAGGAAATGCTCTCAGATATCTACACTCTTGTACCCATGTGTTTCCAGAGAGCTGTTTCACGGAATGTGAGAGGCTTCCTGTTCTAAATGCTAAATGCAGTTGTGCTTGCAAAGGCGTGCTTTTTCTGTTTTCTTCTTCTGTCTAGCTTTTTTTGTGATGCATGCATGTCATATCTGGGTGAGGGTATTGCTTGGAAACCTTTGATAGCCAAGGTCAATGATGCTTGGTGAGGTACTTTACATCCATATGTTGGCTTTCAGGGCAGTACAGAATGCACGCAAAGACTTTAATTTTCGAAAACTAGGATATCGTTCATGATTCCTGATGGATAGAACTATCGTATACTCTGTCAACAAGAAGGATGGTGCAATATTACTTATATTCTACTAGCAAACAATTGATCTGTCTGGTGCATTGAGAAGTACTTTTGTCAACAGTTCACCCTCAGGGCACTTTTAAGAGTTGACCAAAGTTGATTGCAGAGGAAGAAGTGTTATTTAATGCCCTGAGGACCTCTTATGTGCCATAGGGTATTCCAGCATAGATTTCTACTTTTGCTATCAACAAGAAATGCACACCAGGAGAGTGGAAGAAATCCAGTCGCTTCTGTATCTGGTTTCTTCCTCATGTCTTCCCCACCTTTCTTTCCCCCCCCTGCTGTGCCC